AACATTATTTTATTTTATTTTTTNTTGGTCAAATATCTGCCGAAATTACATTTTTGAATATGAGTTATTTAAATTTTGGTAAAAAATTATCTATATTACACATTTTTTGTCAAAAGTTATCCAAATTTTGGTCAAGAGCTATCAAAAATATTTTTTGTTCATATTTAGGTATCACGTGACAAGTTTAAGATAAAAAATAGTTAACAATTTAGATATTGTCTGCTCAAGTGACCACATAAAAAATATTCAATATTTCAAAAATCAAAATGACATAATTAAAATATTAAAGATTAAAATAAGACAAATTCTATACTTCAAGGACCGCCAGTACAACTAATTCTTTAGCTAAATATCTTTGCAAGCTTGTCCTATTCAAATTTGGAATTCATAGATTTTTTATTATTCATTATTTCCATATTGATAGAAAAGTCCCGAGGGGTAGAGGAATCAAATTGTTTCACATTCTGAACGCTTCAAGAGGATAATGTACGACAAATTTATTTTTCTTTTTTCACCTGAGTACGTAACATTATTTTATTTTATTTTTTTTTTCAAAATCGGCTACTCCGGTCTTAGACCGATGATCCTTATACTGTTTGTAACTTTAAAAAAAATGTTTCTTAATATTATTAAACCCATCCCATCCCATCCCATCCCATCCCGGCGGTGACCCTATGCTTAGACCGGGTTGGATTAATGTTTAGACGTTTCTGTAACACTCTCGCTAAGTCCCGGATCACCGATTTATTGATCGCGATTCTTTTGTTAGGTTGATGTCTTTGCTGGATCTAACAATTATGTGCGGAAGACATGACTGTATTGATTATTCAAGTATGGCTAATAATGAGACCAACTTGACTAAAGAAAAAAATTTCGTTATCATAACTTTTTTTTTATTATTTTAATAGATATTTTTAAAATTTTTATGATTCATTTTATAATTAATTTTTAAAAAATTTTTGTAGTTATTTTTATCATTGTTGTGGGTGTTTTATTATTATTTTTAGTATTTTTTAAGGTAAAAAAAAATTATTACTTTTGTGGATATTTGTCATATTTGTAGATATTTTTTATTACATTTATAAATGTTATTATTACTGTCGTAATAATTATTTTTATCATATTTTTGGATAGTATAAAAATAATAAAAATACGATAAATTGAGATATAGTAGAAGAAAAAAAAAATAGTCATCTCGCTAGTGAGACGTTCTTTTAGCATATTTAATTTGATGAAGCTGACAAAGTCCAAATCTTGAAAAGTCGATAGTCCAATCCATCATGCTCTTTATGTTGCCGTTACCATGAAACCTCCAAGTAGGTTCCTAAAGAGTCAAAAAGTGCCATGCAGCTTTCACTTTAAATGTTTAATTACCCGAAAGAAATTTTTGCTTAGTTTGTCTAGGAATTAGGAAAGCCTATTAATTTGACTACACTTTAATTTTTGGAGATAAATCAACAATTTATCCATATTGGGAAGTTAAGCCTAGGGACAAATCAAGAATTTATTGTTGTTTTTCCCCTTTAAATTCGACCAGAACATACACCATATTGCCATGCGGACGGGGTGGACGATCCAATCCTAACTAATTAAGGAGATGAGATTTGAATCCGTAAGGTGGGATGAGCCTCAACCACTGGTTCATCGGCTCATTGACTAAGGGACTTATTAACTTGTAAGTAAGTATTTCCAATGAAAGTTGCATTACTTCAAGAGAAAATAGTAGTTCAACCAAGTTTTATGGTACCGACGTAATACAATCCTCTTAATTGTCTTACAATTATTGTTTACTAATTCAATCCAAAACAAAAGGTTTCCAATTTTTCTCCTTTTACAGATCACCAAAGAGTCCCNCTTGTCCTATTCAAATTTGGAATTCATAGATTTTTTATTATTCATTATTTCCATATCGATAGAAAAGTCCCGAGGGGTAGAGGAATCAAATTGTTTCACATTCTGAACGCTTCAAGAGGAATAATGTACGACAAATTTATTTTTCTTTTTTCACCTGAGTACGTAACATTATTTTATTTTATTTTATTTTTCAAAATCGGCTACTCCGGTCTTAGACCGATGATCCTTATACTGTTTGTAACTTTAAAAAAAATGTTTCTTAATATTATTAAACCCATCCCATCCCATCCCGGCGGTGACCCTATGCTTAGACCGGGTTGGATTAATGTTTAGACGTTTCTGTAACACTCTCGCTAAGTCCCGGATCACCGAGTTATTGATCGCGATTCTTTTGTTAGGTTGATGTCTTTGCTGGATCTAACAATTATGTGCGGAAGACATGACGGTATTGATTATTCAAGTATGGCTAATAATGAGACCAACTGGACTAAAGAAAAAAATTTCGTTATCATAACTTTTTTTTTATTATTTTAATAGATATTTTTAAAATTTTTATGATTCATTTAATAATTAATTTTTTTAAAATTTTTGTAGGTATTTTTATCATTGTTGTGAGTGTTTTATTATTATTTTTAGTATTGTTTTAGGTAAAAAAAATTATTATTTTTGTGGATATTTGTCATATTTGTAGATGTTTTTATTACTGTCGTAATAATTATTTTTATCATATTTTTGGATAGTATAAAAATAATAAAAATACTATAAATACGATAAATTGAGATATAGTAGAAGAAATAAAAAATAGTCATCTCGCTAGTGAGACGTTCTTTTAGCATATTTAATTTGATGAAGCTGACAAAGTCCAAATCTTGAAAAGTCGATAGTCCAATCCATCATGCTCTATATGTTGCCGTTACCATGAAACCTCCAAGTAGGTTCCTAAAGAGTCAAAAAGTGCCATGCAGCTTTCACTTTAAATGTTTAATTACCCGAAAGAAATTTTTGCTTAGTTTGTCTAGGAATTAGGAAAGCCTATTAATTTGACTACACTTTAATTTTTGGAGATAAATCAACAATTTATCCATATTGGGAAGTTAAGCCTAGGGACAAATCAAGAATTTATTGTTGTTTTTCCCCTTTTAATTCGACCAGAATATACACCATATTGCCATGCGGAGGGGGTGGACGATCCAATCCTAACTAATTAAGGAGATGAGATTTAAACCCGTAAGGTGGGATGAGCCTCAACCACTGGTTCATCGGCTCATTGACTAAGGGACTTATTAACTTGTAAGTAAGTATGTATTACTTCAAGAGAAAATAGTAGTTCAACCAAGTTTTATGGTACCGACGTAATACAATCCTCTTACTTGTTTTACAATTATTGTTTACTAATTCAATCCAAAACAAAAGGTTTCCAATTTTTCTCCTTTTACAGATCACCAAAGAGTCCCTGTCACCACAGAACTACGAGTGGATTGGGGGTTCAGAAAATTGCTCCCATTTGCTGCAGCCCAAGTACGTATTAGGGAAGTAGAAGTTTCAGATTGGTTCTTCTGATAAAAAAAAAAAAAAAAAAACNTGAAAGTTGCATTACTTCAAGAGAAAATAGTAGTTCAACCAAGTTTTATGGTACCGACGTAATACAATCCTCTTAATTGTCTTACAATTATTGTTTACTAATTCAATCCAAAACAAAAGGTTTCCAATTTTTCTCCTTTTACAGATCACCAAAGAGTCCCTGTCACCACAGAACTACGAGTGGATTGGGGGTTCAGAAAATTGCTCCCATTTGCTGCAGCCCAAGTACGTATTAGGGAAGTAGAAGTTTCAGATTGGTTCTTCTGATAAAAAAAAAAAAAAATACATATTAGGGAACTTAGACTTGGCACAATGGTGGGTGATATTAACCAAATCTAAACATGGTCAAATTAATGATTCCTTCGGTTCGATCAAGTCTCTAAAACTATTCTGAAAGTCTCTTAAGATGAGCAATGCTATGCTAATTAAATTGTTGCCCAAATTTTATATTTCAAATTAATGCAGGTGATTGGATTAGTGGGATCCATTAATTCCACTAAATATTCAATGCATGAGATTTTGACACACATCACTCAAGGTATAAGATTTAAGCAACCAATTTGTGCAGCACAGTTTTATCTCTCCTAAGATATTAATTATGGAGACTGAATATTCTTCACAAAAATTACATCCTGATTTGGACCTCTTCAATGTTATAATCGACAGGAAATGAGTATTTCTTTTTTGGATAAGTATAGAAATTGAACCTAAAAATTTGATCTAATTTGTTGACCTAATGATGTGATTTCGGTGGAAGAAATTATTGGATTAACATTAAGCTCTAATATTTAATAGGGCCCACAATGAATCTAAAGACTATAGTGAATTAGGCCAATAAATTTAAGCCAGTAAATGAAATCTCAATAATATTGCACGTGGGAAAAAAATATATGTATTGAAGCAACTACTCATGCATAATTGTGGTATATATGAAGTTACTAAGGGGTTGAACAATACATAAGAAGGTGAAAAATAGGATAAATCCCTAAATAAATATTCAAGGCCCCTCACCACCAATGGCACCTACGGAACGTTATCTCGACCTAAGGGTTGGCACAAATGCTCTGATACTTTTATTTGTCACATTAAAAATATAATATTAGTTAGAGTAATCTCTCCATAAGTAGAATAAAATTACATAGAACTAACTCCTCTTTAAATCCCGTAATAGTCGGAACCTCATGCATCCTTCTTAATAAGAGTAGCCAAATTTGACAACCGCGACAAGGCTTGAACCTACCAATTCTAGAAGAGTAACAAAACATTTAGAATTCTCCATTCCAAGACATTTAGTACAGTATCAAGCTGCACATGACCTCACCGCTTTTGAGTTTTCAAACTCAAATGAAAAGTAAAACAAAGAAATTTCCTTAGAGTTTGGTAGAGCATTAAGCATGTTTGAAAAGCAGTCACCGACTTCTAAAGTGTCTCTATAAATAAGAAGCTCTCAAAAAACACAACCCATCATCAGAATAACCCTATAGCTTCTAAGCAAACAGTGTAGCTCTTAATTTCAAGCCTATAGCATTATGTCTTCATTGAAATTTATAGTTATTGTAGTCTTCATGGCTACAGTTTTTGGGTGGTCTAATGCTCAGCTGAGCGCCACCTTCTATAGCAACTCTTGCCCGAATGTGTCAACTGTGGTGCGTGGTGTCTTGGAGCAGGCTGCACGGAATGATGTTCGAATTGGTGCCAAACTCATTCGCCTTCATTTCCATGACTGTTTCGTCAATGTAATTTCCTTTTTTGGTGTTTTGTGTGTGTGTGTGAGAGAGAGAGAAAGAGAGAGTTAGGGTCGATAATTCTAGAGTTGAGTAATTTTTGACACAAATCAAAAAATAACCCGAATAATAAACAAATTAAGTTAGTGCCAAAACATGAGTAACTCAATTTTGACATAAAAAACTTATTTAACTAATAATGTGATAAAAATGTCTCGTACTGTTTTTCTATTTTGTGATCAAGTTAGAGGGGTGGGTTTTCATTTAGTTTTGCTAGCATGCGGATGAAGTGAATTTTTGATTTATGAGAGCCTGTGGTTGGCACATATGAGGGTTGAGAGAACTGGGAGCTCTAATCATCGGTTTTTGTTATTCACATTACACGCACGACAACTTAAACTTGACACAAATAACAATCTGATTTAGTTAATATTATGACATCTAACACAGTTAACTATATAGATCAAATTTATATGATTGAATACTATTTGACAATAACCGAAATCACATGCCACCATTAGATACACGTATCTGGTTTGTGTCTCTAATGGAGTTAGTCATATTCTACCATATTCAGAGAGCATTATTCTTACAAGTAGAGAGCTTAGGGATAAGATTCTGTGAAATGTATTTGGTGCAGGGGTGTGATGGTTCCATTTTGTTAGACGATGCGGATGGCATACTGAGCGAGAAAGGTGCAGTTCCTAATGCTGCAGCCGCTGGATTCGACGTCGTCGATGACATTAAAACGGCATTGGAGAACGTTTGCCCGGGCGTCGTCTCCTGCGCTGATATTTTGGCCATTGCATCTCAAATTTCTGTTTCTATGGTATGTTCCTCTCTTTAGCTTATTCTCTTCGTATCTTTGACTTGGTAAAGTTTGTTTTTTAATTTTTTTTTGGGTCAGGTTGACTATTTGGCCTTCATTCATGACTTACTAATTTTCTTAAAACACTTACCTAATCGGTGACAGCTACTGGCTCCATCAAACTTTAAAACTCAAAACTAATTGCAGTGCATTTAGTCTAAATAGCATTGCTCCGTTTAATTTTACCGTAAGAATGGGATAAGAGTGAGTATTGTCTAATAAAAGGACATGTAATTTTGCAGGCTGGAGGCCAATCATGGGAAGTTCAATTGGGAAGAAGAGACAGTCGAACAGCAAACATAGCAGGGGCTAACCGTGACATTCCCGGTCCTTTTGATGGCCTTAGTAATATTACTGCCAAGTTCTCTGCTGTGGGACTTGACTCCACTGATCTAGTTGCTTTATCTGGTAAAAACCACCACTGATATTACAATAAACTATATTAAGATCACAAAAATTGAAAAGATTACAAAAACTTTGATATACATGTTTATGGCTAGGGCCAAATTTAGGACCGTTATAGTTACTGATTCCCCTATTATTAGGTCACCAACTTTCTCGACTAGCTTCTGGAATTGACTAGTGTTAGCATGTCTTACGACTTTGGAAAGACCTATATTTTTGTAGCAACAGTCGCTCGAGTCTGTGCTCCTCCTTTGTGAGGAGGCACCTCCTCTCCGAAGTTACGGAGTTATTTTGTCAAAAATTTGAAAGGAAGGTCAAATAGGAAATTATAATTCTTTAGGGGCAAAATAATAATGAATAAAAATAAATGGTAACAAAATTTCTTTTTTTGGGAGGGGGCATAGGGTTGTGACCCTCTGGGCCCTCACATAGCTTTGTTATATCCTTGGTAATTGATCGTTTTTTTTTCCTCCTACAAATGTTTTGTAAGTTTGAAAATCATCGTAAATTCTTATAGGCCATATATATAGCGAAATTATGCAATTTTTAACGTGCCACCAACTAATAAGCATGAACTTGGACCAAAAATCAAATAATGATTTCTGGGCCAAAAAAATTGCACGATATGAATCTAATGGCTAGGATTTTGCCAACTCACCTTCGGGATCTTGAGAGATCGTAACTTTCTTTCTAACGTAATTTTATTTGAGAGATCGGAACTTTCAGTATGATAGTATGATACTGTAGAAGAATCCTTTAGTCTCATTCAGCTTGGTTCGCTTCTTAGGTGCTCATACATTTGGGCGGTCAAGATGCTTGGCTTTCAGCAATCGTCTGTACAATTTCAGTGGCGACGGAAACCCCGACCAGTCCCTCGATGCGACGTACTTGGAAACGCTGCGCCAAGCATGTCCCCAGGGAGGAAATGGAGGCACATTGAACAACCTTGATCCCTCCACTCCTGATAGCTTTGACAACAATTACTTCACAAACCTGCAGAACAACCGTGGGCTTCTTCAGAGCGATCAAGAGCTTTTCTCAACTCGTGGGGCTGCCACTGTTGCCATTGTTAACAGGTTTGCTAATAGCCAGAGTGACTTCTTTGATAGTTTTGGTCAGTCCATGATCAATATGGGGAATATAAGGCCATTAACAGGAAACAATGGAGAAATCAGGTCTGACTGCAAGAGGGTTAATTAAGTGATATTGTTCGGTGAATCCGGTATGACCTACCTCAGATTCTGCAATGGTTAAGTCTCGTACAACAAATTATTTTCGTGTTAGGGATGTTGTAAGAGTTTTTTTTTTTGGTTTTTGTCAAAATTGAAGTATGTTTATTGGGTTTACCAATTTTGTTTAGGAGAATATGTGATCCAAGTGTATCAATTGAATTAGATTATCACATCGAATAAAGACAGTAATATTTTCGCAATGAGAAAATCAAGAAAAAGATTCTTCTTTGGATTCCAGTGGTCAATGAAATTAAACTCTTTTCGGTCGCAAGTCCATGATAGTAAATTAATGACTAGAAAAAATCATAAGACCAAGGAGAGTAGGATATGCAAAGGTTTTTTTTTTTTTGTTTTGTTTTGTTTTTGGGAGATTTGGTGAGAGCTCCACAAAGAGTGACTTTTTTGCCTTTAGGTCCAATTTCAACACCTATAAGGAAAAAAATCTATAAAATTGATTATTAACAAAAATACTATTAATAAAGGAGGTTATTTAAAAACTTTTACCATTATCTAATTTTTATATTTATTACCACTATATCATTATCCCAACACCACCATCACCGGTCACCCATCACCATCACCCGCCGCCAACTACCACCACCACTATCACCCATAGTCGCCACCACCACCACTCATTGCCACTAACACCCACCATTTGCCAACACCATTCGCTGCCAACCACCGCTGCTACCAGCACCCATAACACCCACCACCATCACCATAAACCACCACAATTACCCACCACCACCACCACCACTCACAACCGACCACCAACCACCACACATGTCATTGTCGCCAATCACCACCCATTGCCAACACCCACCACCACAACCTACCACCACCCCCCAACTAACACCCGCCACCAACATCACCACCATTGCTATAAACCATCACCACCCACCACCACTCATTGTCACTAACAGTCACCACCTGTTACCACCATCGCCATCACCACTGCCACAAACCACCGCCACCACCCATTGTCGCCACCACCACCCGCTGCCAACCACGACCACCCATCGTCACCACCACAACCACCTATGAGACCCAAAAATTCGGGGGTCCTTTCTCAACTCGTTGATCACCCGTCAACCTGTGGAAACACTTGTGAATGCCTCATAACCCGACAACACGACATCAAATCCCCTCCTCCGGGGTCGTACCAATATCAAGTCTGGGTAGAGTCTCCCTTGTACCAGAGCACTCCTAACACTTCCAAGGTCCATCCCCATCAATTATGACATTATGTTTGACCAATTATATCAACCAAACAAGATGGCTCAAGATCTGACGACTTGACAGAGTTATATTTGAATTTTTGAAAATTTTGGAAGAAGTACCGATACCTATCTCACGTGATATCGGTACTTGAGTGACATGGTACCGGTACCTGGACCTCTAGTTTCCCCAGGTTCCTTCCAATTGTCAAGTACCAGTACCTAGGTGACAAGGTACCAATACTTGAGCACACAATTTGTTAAGTACTAGTACCTATATGTCATAGTACTGGCCCCTGAGTCCACTGTCCATCATAGTACCAATACCTGAAGCCTTGGTACTGGTACCTGAGCCCACTGAAATCTAAGTACTGGTACCTGTAAGTCTAGATATCGGCACCTAGGCTATCCAACAATGTGGTTGCAGTACTTAATCACTTAGGTAGCAATACCTGAACCCAGATTTTCCCCAATTCTTTCCAATCTTCAACCTTTAACCATCCAATCTCTTTCCAAGCACATTCATTTACACTAATTATAGTCTCTAAGAGTTCATTACACAACACTTTATACAATTTTACTAGTCAAAAAACAAATTACATGATTGGTTACAAAATGTAATCTAAAATCCACATCTTGATTTCTTCTCAATAAGGGCCCAAGTGAAGGCTCTCTACTGATGTTTGTCCCACACCTAAAATGTTGCTCTCATAAAGGGTGAGCTACGCTCAATATGGTATTTCTTAAATAGGCTACCTTCCAAGCAAAATACATATGAAATGTTCGCATGCAATTCAACAATCAATCAAACATCTATTCAAGAATATGCAATTCATAATTGATTTCATAATGTCATGTCATGTCATGAGATGATACTCATACATGCAATGCAACCCGAGCCCTCCATCGACTCCCATACCACATAGAATGTCATGCGTATGCATTCGACCATTCCAAACTCCTGCAATTGATGTTGAACATTCAATGACCATTTTGTAAAATCTTGGATTTTTCTTGGGGTGGGTATTTATGGACTTCCACCAGCGACTCCGCATACGTCAACCACTTTATGAGCTCTCATACCAATGGAAGTGCATATCCGAAATTTTCAGGTCTTGTACCGGAAGGAGAATCTAGCCCTTCTTGTTAACCCCAACCCTTATTTTTCAATGCAACACATGTGACTCAGTCACCCCTAAGTCCAACTTTTCTAAGCCCACGTATCTTCCACCAAGAATGTTGTTTGATCAAGAACATGCACTTACACACCCATATTCATGCAATGCCCACGAATGCGATGTTACCTGTGTTAATACGAATGTGCAATTGTAATCTATATTATCATGTGCATCATATCATAAGCATACATGAACATATACAATTTCCACAACATGTCCAACTTCTCAATTGTCAATATACCACAAAGCATATACTAACATTTCACAACATCAATCTAAAGTGTGTTATAACATATTCAATGCAATTAACATACTTAATAAACATAGACATTTCATCAAACACCTTCAAGGCGTAAATGTAAACACATAACATGTCTGAACAACACATTCACATCGAGATTCCAAATAAGCAATTTCACCATAACCCAATTCATGCAAACTAGGTTCAAAAAGTTCCTATACCCATTTTTCACACTCTAGTTACACTGAGTATATTAAAAGAGAGATTTCAACTATAATCGTGCTACCCATTTCATATGCAATCCTAGGTTGAAAATAAACCTAGATAGAAAAGGAATCCTACCTCTTGAAGCGAAATTTCACGTAAGAGAAGTCCCAATCACCCAAATCAAGCTTCAAAGCCTTGACCCCAACAATCTTGTCTTTAAGATTTTGGCGAAATTCACGATCTTTGGCACGTACTCATAATTCTCGTAACATAGACCACTTTTTGTTCTTGGCCTAAAGAAATTCGAAGGACGGATCGCCCTAGATTGCAAGGAGAAAGCTTGAAGATCCCTTGATTTTTTNTTTTTTTGTTTTGTTTTGTTTTGTTTTTGGGAGATTTGGTGAGAGCTCCACAAAGAGTGACTTTTTTGCCTTTAGGTCCAATTTCAACACCTATAAGGAAAAAAATCTATAAAATTGATTATTAACAAAAATACTATTAATAAAGGAGGTTATTTAAAAACTTTTACCATTATCTAATTTTTATATTTATTACCACTATATCATTATCCCAACACCACCATCACCGGTCACCCATCACCACCACCCGCCGCCAACTACCACCACCACTATCACCCATAGTCGCCACCACCACCACTCATTGCCACTAACACCCACCATTTGCCAACACCATTCGCTGCCAACCACCGCTGCTACCAGCACCCATAACACCCACCACCATCACCATAAACCACCACAATTACCCACCACCACCACCACCACTCACAACCGACCACCAACCACCACACATGTCATTGTCGCCAATCACCACCCATTGCCAACACCCACCACCACAACCTACCACCACCCCCCAACTAACACCCGCCACCAACATCACCACCATTGCTATAAACCATCACCACCCACCACCACTCATTGTCACTAACAGTCACCACCTGTTACCACCATCGCCATCACCACTGCCACAAACCACCGCCACCACCCATTGTCGCTACCACCACCCGCTGCCAACCACGACCACCCATCGTCACCTCCACAACCACCTATGAGACCCAAAAATTCGGGGGTCCTTTCTCAACTCGTTGATCACCCGTCAACCTGTGGAAACACTCGTGAATGCCTCATAACCCGACAACACGACATCAAATCCCCTCCTCCGGGGTCGTACCAATATCAAGTCTAGGTAGAGTCTCCCTTGTACCAGAGCACTCCTAACACTTAACATGTGGACATACAAATCACCTGACCATTCCAAGGTCCATCCCCATCAATTATGACATTATGTTTGACCAATTATATCAACCAAACAAGATGGTTCAAGATCTGACGACTTGACAGAGTTATATTTGAATTTTTGAAAATTTTGGAAGAAGTACCGATACCTATCTCACGTGATATCGGTACTTGAGTGACATGGTACCGGTACCTGGACCTCTAGTTTCCCCAGGTTCCTTCCAATTGTCAAGTACCAGTACCTAGGTGACAAGGTACCAATACTTGAGCACACAATTTGTTAAGTACTAGTACCTATATGTCATAGTACTGGCCCCTGAGTCCACTGTCCATCATAGTACCAATACCTGAAGCCTTGGTACTGGTACCTGAGCCCACTGAAATCTAAGTACTGGTACCTGTAAGTCTAGATATCGGCACCTAGGCTTTCCAACAATGTGGTTGCAGTACTTAATCACTTAGGTAGCAATACCTGAGCCCAGATTTTCCCCAATTCTTTCCAATCTTCAACCTTTAACCATCCAATCTCTTTCCAAGCACATTCATTTACACAAATTATAGTCTCTAAGAGTTCATTACACAACACTTTATACAATTTTACTAGTCAAAAAACAAATTACATGATTGGTTACAAAATGTAATCTAAAATCCACATCTTGATTTCTTCTCAATAAGGGCCCAAGTGAAGGCTCTCTACTGATGTTTGTCCCACACCTAAAATGTTGCTCTCATAAAGGGTGAGCTACGCTCAATATGATATTTCTTAAATAGGCTACCTTCCAAGCAAAATACATATGAAATGTTCGCATGCAATTCAACAATCAATCAAACATCTATTCAAGAATATGCAATTCATAATTGATTTCATAATGTCATGTCATGTCATGAGATGATACTCATACATGCAATGCAACCCGAGCCCTCCATCGACTCCCATACCACATAGAATGTCATGCGTATGCATTCGACCATTCCAAACTCCTGCAATTGATGTTGAACATTCAATGACCATTTTGTAAAATCTTGGATTTTTCTTGGGGTGGGTATTTATGGACTTCCACCAGCGACTCCGCATACGTCAACCAC